TTTGTAATCTTCACATTGGGTAGAGATAAAAATCTGGATCGGTATCACCAATTCCATTATTAGTTTTGCCTTCTGTAAAATGTTTTTAATTCTGTTTTTAACTTCACTCCAGATCCACCAGTGATTGTTTTCCTCCATGAACAACTCAGTGATGTAATATATTAGTGTCACATTTGTCTACGCAACGATTTATAATCCACAATCTGAATTTTGAGGGGTTTCCCGTTGTTGCGTCGAAACTCAGGTCCCCGTGCATAGGGGAGTCAACGCCCTATGTCCCGTAAACATCCTCTCTGTGGGGGTGTCTGGCAGGGGTGAGATGATGGGAGAAAGAGAAAGGAGAGGGAGTTGAACCACTGTAACCAAAGAGAAAGGTTGTGTGGCAGTCCATCCTCGAGTGTGATGGCTGCCTAAATAAAGGAGATTAATTTTATACAGTCCACGTCATGTGTTTATTATTTGAGTCTTTATTTGTGTGTGTGAGTGAGCTGTCGAACACCCGTATATAAGTTCGCGGTTTATGGGTGGGAATTTACTGTATTATCTAGCTACAGATACAAAAATGACTTGAAATTAATTATTCCGACTTCAAGGCATTCAACAGACTTACGATCAATCATTTAAAGGAGGAGGAGGATGAAAGACATAGAATACCTTCTGAGAGAAAAGCCATTCGATCTTTGATAATAGTAAAAGCGTGCATTTCAAATACTGATGACTAAGACATGCATATGTTGAAAATGTTATTTGCCATATAGCTATTTAAAACAAGACACAAAATAACCTCTTTAAAGCATTGTTTGATGTCTAAACCACCGTAAAGAAATAAATAAAATGCATGTAATCTAAATATATCTTTATTTCACATCCAATTTCCCGTACTGTTGTTTAATGTTCATCTGCCTGTAGTGTTATTTTTTTCTTAATCTCCCGAATTATATTAATTTGACGTTCTATTATATATTATTTAAGAAGAGATGATCTAAATAATCAGTTTGAAATAAATTGCGTTGTCAGATCTTCATCTCAGGTATATTATTATTAAAGGTTGGAAAGTTTCTGAAATTTCTAAAATTTTAATTATGTAATTAGTTGTTATATTTTCTTGTATAAAGTAAATTAAAGTGAAAATTATAACTGACATACTCTGTTAATTACAATGGGGAAAAAACAACTCCAAAGATATTGATAACTACCATGGAAAAAACCCTTCCTTCAATCTACTAAATAAAATGAAGTTTTTGTGTAATTATAATTTTATATGATAGAATTTGTTGTACCATTTACAATTGGAAGGCAAATAAGATTAAAATATCTATCTTGTTATATAAAAATAAGGTACTTACGTATTAACGCCACCTTAGCTGCAGTTGCGCCAATAAAGAGCAATCTTGTTGTTCGCACGCGCACGCAGTTATCTTTTGAACGCCAATCTAACAGCTACAGATTTGGCGGTTTTAAGTGGCGCCAATCTACACTTCATTGTAGCTGTTAGATTGGCGCCACTTAAAAACCGCCAAATCTTACAACTAGATTGGCGCCATAAAAACCAAATCTGTAGCTGTAAGATTGGCGCCACTTAAAAACCGTCAAATCTGTAGCTAAGGTGGCGTTAATACGTGAGTACCTAAAAATAATAACATAATTTTTAAATAATTTTATTCATTCAGGAGATAAAACAATTGCAAATATCCTTAAAATTTTTAAAAGTATTCTGATTAGCAATTTTGAAAACATTAATACATTTTCTCTCAAATTGTGTTATATTTGCAGGTTCATAGGCGTCTCTTGCATGACGACGCTTTCGGTGTTGGTGAGGCTTTAAATGAAAGCGCTTTTGGTCAAGGATTAGTTGTCGCGGGCTCCCACTTCCTGAGTTTCGGTAACATCACCAGCGCAGCTTCCAAGCACAGGCCTTTGGCTCAGCAGCTCTACATGCAGCCGCAGATGAGTTTCGCGCCATACACTGGCACAGAAGCAGATTATTTTAAATCGTACAAAGTTGTGGTACATACCTCTTTTCTTCATTTCTTTACATTTTTTTTATTTTTTTATTAATCATTGCTATATTATACTTTTTAATTCATTTTTATGTTCATGTTGCTATTTTTTTTTTTGTTACCATTTGTGTTTTATTAAAATAAAAATAGAATCTCAATTTAAGAAAAACTTAAAATATATTTGTGCATAAAAACAAATTTATTACTTATATATACGATTTTTATATTACTTGTATATACAATGTTTATATTACTTGTATATACAATGTTTATATTACTTGTATATACAATGTTTATATTACTTGTATATACAATGTTTATATTACTTGTATATACAATGTTTATATTACTTGTATATACAATGTTTATATTACTTGTATATACAATGCTTATATTACTTGTCTATACAATGCTTATATTACTTCTATTAAAATATACTTAAAATTACTTATTGATATTGAAGTCATACTATTATTATATGAACAAAAAAACTATAATAAGGCAGCTTAGCTTCTGATGATAAAAATAAATTAAATTTCTAATTCACAATTTACATAGAACATTCTCGGCACACTTACCTTTAAGCAATTTGTACATATCTGTTTTCTTCATTTCTTTACATTTTTTTTATAATAATCATTACTATTATTATTTAATTCATTTTTAATACGCTTTTATTAGTTTCACATGTATGTATGTATGTATGTATGTATGTTTGTATGTATGTAACTGACTTTTGGGCTCGATTTTGCCCTACTTTAAGCGATCCGATTTAATTGAAACGTTGTAGACTTATCACGGACACTAAAATAGTTTGATTGTGTTTATTATCTCATCATGATTAGGATCGCCAAAATGAATGATTTTATTTTAACTTATGAAGAGCAATTGAACCCATGTAGAATGACAATCAAACCTACTTGGGACAGTGGCACAACGGATAACGCGCCTGAATAGGAGATTCCCTGTTCGAATCCTCACTGGCTCGACCTATTCGCATTCAGCCTTTGTTTTACTCACAATTCAATTATTGTAAGAACTATAGTTCCAGTCCTCCGTACCGGGACCTCATCTAAATATTATAGTTTGAAAACACTAAAAAACATGTTTTTAGAGTTAATCAAACTAAAAAATAAATTAATAGTTTAAAAAAACTAAAAACACGCCTTTAGAGTGAATCAAACCAAAAAGTAAAAAATAATTGTTAACATAAGAATAAAATGATTGTTCTAAAAGCGTGGGTGCTTTGTATGACATTTTTAAACTCACTCTGCATTTCGGAATGAAACGAGTGAAAAATTATAGCAGTGATATCGAGCACCCACGCTTTTAGAACAGTCATTTTATTCTTATGTTAACAATTATTTTTTACTTTTGGTTTGATTTACTCAAAAAGTGTGTTTTTAACTATTAATTTATTATGTTCATGTTGCTATTTTTTTTGTTACCATATGTGTTTTATTAAAATAAAAATAGAATCTTAATTTAAGAAAAACTTAAAACATATGTGTGCATAAAAACAAATTTATTACTTGTATATACAATGTTTATATTACTTGTGTAAAATATACTTATATTACTTCTATTGAAATATACTTAAAATTACTAGTTGATAATTGAAGTCATACTATTATTGTTTGAACAAAAAAAAAAAAAAAATATATGATAAGGCAAATATATAGCTTCTCTACAATAAAAATAAATTAAATTTCTAATTAGGAATTGCAGAGATCATTCTGGGCTTGTATGAACACTTACCTTTAAGCGATATCAAATATTGATGAAAAATTACTGCTTATAATAAGCTGAAATCCATTTAAAAAAACAACCTGGATTGATGAACTGAAAATATTAAAATGAAATTCAAGAACTTGGAAAATTAAAATAAAAAAAAAATGGAATTTCAGATGAATAATCTTAAAAATGATAAAACCTTTCACAATAGTTAATAAACATTTCCTGCTGCAATTGTTGGGTTGCACAGAATTCTTGGCCATGGAAAAGTTTCTCCTATTTAAAATAATTGCAATCTCCTTAAATGCAACTTAAGAATAATGAGATAACAGGTGGGCCGAAAAGTTTTTAGGCTGATACATAGATGGCGCTATTATTATTAAATCCATATGATGTTTAGTTAGCCCTAACCTTCAAAAGACACGTGTATAAATTTGACAGCTGTTGCACTATTAGTATGTGATTATACATTAGTATGTGGGTATGCATTTTTAGTGTTCATCACGTGCAGTTCACTCGGCTGACTGTCGATTGGACTCCGGTGTGAAATGATTGAGCCCTGTTTCATCCATTGTCACATATCGACGCAAAAATTCGGGTTTATTACGATTGAACAGCTCCAAACACTGCTTAGATTCATCCATTCGTTGTTGTTTTTGATCGATTGTCAGCTCTGCGCGGCACCCACTTTGAACAGAGCTTTCGCATATCCAAATATTCATTAACGATATGTCCAACACGTTTCTTTGATATCTTTAGGGTCTCAGCTATCTCAGTCAAATTCACTTCACGATGATCAGAACTTATTTTGTGGACTTTTTTGATGTTTTCGTCGGTAACAGCCTCTTTGGGGCGTCCACTGCGTGCATTGTTCTCGGTGCTCATTTCGCCTCTTTTAAATTTTGCAAACCATATCAACTCACATACTAATAGTGCAACATCTGTCAAATTTATACACGTGGCTTTTGAAGATTAGGACTAACTAAAAATCATTTGGATTTAATACTAGTAGCGCCATCTATGGGTCAGTCTATGAACTTTTCCGCCCACTTGTTATTGAATGATCTCAGTGCTTTGTTGCTGATATTAGAAGAAATTTGAAGCAATTATTGTTACCGTAGGTAATGAGGAAAAAAAGGAAAGTAAATTAAAGTGAAAATTATAACTGACATACTCTGTTAATTACAATGGTGAAAAAAACAACTACAAAGATATTGATAACTACCATGAAAAAATCTTCCTTCAATCTACTATATAAAATAGCCAACAGCCATACCATGCTGAATATACCGGTTCTCGCTAGATCACCGAAGTCAAGCATCATTGGGCGCGGTCAGTACTTGGGTTGGTATTCACAAATTTGGAACCTGAATGGCCGAGTGTCTAGCGCTCGGTGCCACAGGTTTCGGGTCAGACTTCTACCTACGGGTGCTCTATCACAACAGAAGCTGCATCCTTCCCCTTCAATCATGAGTACGTATGGGCTCGTGGGCTTGGCCAGCCAAGTGGGATAAGAAACAACAACTAATACTACTACACCACACCACATCACTGTGCGTAGAGCTGAGTTGCCCTATACAGTTTGGGATTGATGTGGGTGAGAAAAAGTCTGATTGGGCTCTGTGACGCTCTACGGTCATAAGAGACCGGAACCTACTGCTTAAAGTGGATTCCAAACCACTCCAAGCATCTATAAGCACCTCCGGGATTCGAACCCGATACCTGTGTTACCGAGAGCCAGAGCCACTGAGCAAACGGGTGATTGCAGTTTGTCCCTGCCTGTCACAATTAAGTGCCGCCAGGTCGATGTCCCCCATACCACTGGTGCACTGGGGGAGTAGACCAAGTTGTTTTCCATTTAACTTAGCATGTGCTTTGTAGTACTTAAAACCGTAAACATATCACATACGGTCTTTGACCGTGTTATCTATTCTTACGCTCTAGCGTTCTGCCTCGTTATCTCAAAATCTCACCGCTCGTACTAACCAGTTCACACAGTTACTGGTCACAGTGGCGACCTCTCGCGTCTATCTAATTCAATTCCTTCTATTAGCTCCCACTCTCCCTATATATCTTGTTCAAGTTTTCAATCGTTAACAAAATACTTTCTATTCATCCACTCGAGTTCAAATACATTTTTTTTTAGCTTGCAGTGGACTTGACACTGGATGTGAATGCGCTTTTTCAAATATTAAATCATTCATTAAATTTAATTTTTTTTTTTTAGATTTAAGTTGTCTATATCGACCCATAGATGGCGCCAGGTAAACTTAAAAAATGAATGAAAATTATTTGTAAAGGACTCTCTGCAATAGAGCGAAAATAAGTAGGAATTGACTTTAATTTTTTTTTTTTTATATATATATTACTTATTATGGTTAAACCTTACACTTTGATTTCGCAATCTCAACGACCAGCAAGGCAACATTTCCGTACGTACAATGAGTATGGAACAAGTAATATGAATATACAAGTCAATTCCTACCTATACAATATGATATATACAAGTCAATTCCTACTTTATTTTATTCACTCTATTGCAGAAAGTCCTTTATAAATCCTTTTCATTCATTTTTTTAAGTTTATCTGGCGCCATCTATTGGTAGGTACAGGAAACTTAAATATATAAAAAAACTCTAATTAATTAATTGAATTGAATGAATTAATTAATATTTGAAAAAAACTGTATTGACGTCAAGAGTCATCCACTGGAAGTTAAAAAAAAATGTATTTCAACTTGGGTGGATGAATCAAAAGTGTTTTGTGAACGATTGGAAATGTGAACAAGATATACGCTCAAGAGTCAAAACATTATGACCACCCCTACATTTTGCAATGAACTCGCCTGGATGACGTGATCAGGTGGAAGTGGTATTTAACTGCTGCTGGAGAGTCTGAAGAATCATTCTTTCTCTTACTTCTGTGTGTGATGGGAAATGCTGCAGGTTCTACTCGTTATTGACAGGTGGTCATAATGTTTTGGCTCTTGAGTGTATATAGGGGAGTGTGTGAGCTAATAGAAGGAATTGAATAAACTTTATACCGATGAACAATGTTTCTTTTTCCATTTAATGTGGGGTAAATCCCTGTGCAGGTAAGGAGCTCAAGTGGAACTAATACCTCACCAATGGCCAATGCATCTGCCATTTCATTCCCTCAAGGTCGACTTGGGAGGATCTACTGTATGTGGATCTGATGAACTGAAACTGAAAGATGTTTTAGCGAGACAAATATTAAAATATCTATATTGCTATAAAATAAAATAAAAACATAATTTTTAAGTAATTTCATTCATTCAGGAGATAAAACAATTGCAAATATCCTTAAAAATTTTAAATATTCTGATTAGCAATTTTGAAAATATTAATACATTTTGCTATATGAAAAAATACACTCAAGAGCCAAAACATTATGACCACCTCTGCATTTTGCAATAAACTCGCCTGGATGACGTGGAAAGCACGTGATCAGGTGGAAGTCGTATTAAGTGGTGGTATTAATCCATGCCAAGGCGGGTTGAAGCTGTGTTGCGCGCCAAAGGTGGGCCAATCGTTATTGACAGGTGGTCATAATGTTTTGGCTCTTGAGTGTATCTTGCCATAAAATAAAATAAAAACATAATTTTTAAATAATTTCATTTATTCAGGAGATAAAACAATTGCAAATATCCTTAAAAATTTTAAATATTCTGATTAGCAATTTTGAAAATATTAATACATTTTGCTACATGAAAAAATACATTTTCTCACAATTAAGGTTTTTCCAGCAAAAAGTGTTTTATTTCATTAGAATTAATTTTATAACTTATATATGCATGCTTGTATATTGAGTTTCTATTAACAGACATTTTAAGGAATAAGTTGCAAATTATTATATAAATGTATTTTGGGTACTTACGTATTAACGCCACTTAGCTACAGTTGCGCCATTAAAGAGCAATCTTGTTGTTCGCACGCGAACGCAGTTATCTTTTGAACGCCAATCTAACAGCTACAGATTTGGCGATTTTTAAATGGCGCCAATCTACACTTCATTGTAACTGTTTGATTGGCGCCACTTAAAACCGCCAAATCTGTAGCTATTTGATTGGCGCCACTTTAAGAACCACCAAATCTGTAGCTGTTTGATTGGCGCCACTTAAAAATTGCCAAATCTGTAGCTTAGGCGGTGATAATACGTAAGTACCGGAATAAGTTACAAATTATTATATAAATGTATTTTTGTTATGATTTCTTGTAGTCACCAGGATTAAGAACTGTTCTGCCACCTAATGTTCATTTGCTTACGTTGGAACCTTGGAAGAAAGGTACTGTGTTAATACGATTGGAACACATTTATGAATATGACGAAGATTCGGTGTTGAGCAAGCCCGTCGATGTATCATTGAAAGTAAGCATTTTAAATATTTATGAAAATACACATTCTTTATAAAAGCATTTTGCAATATATTTTATAGAAAATGTGGGAAATGAATATGTATAGTAAAAAAAAAAATAATAATAATAATTTTCAAAGGATTAAAGTTTGAAAGGAAAGGAGCAATTATATCGTGTACAGTTGATATTTTACAGTATGTTATAAAATGAGTTTATCATGGTCTGGAGAATTTCGGAAAGCATTTGAAGCTTTATTTGTAATATTGATTTGAAAAGAAACTCCAGCTTCTGTATTTGTCTAGACATATTTGTTAAACAGTCAATATTGCATTGAAATTGAAATTCCAAAATTCAGACTAACTTCATTAATTTAAATGACGGATTCTTTGACATGACATTCTTCCATCAGAGTTACCATTAATTGCACAATCGCAATTACCCAGAAAAAATTTAGGGGATTTTCATTGCACTAAAATGTTGAACGAGAACTCCCAGATAATCCTTCTGGAAGGTTTTTCCCATTTCTCCTCCTCCTCTTCGAGTCAACTAAAAGAATTGTAACGAAATTCTGTAACATTACACCAAGATTTAGAACGAGCATTCTCAAATAGGGAGCCCTTCTGGGAGGTTTATGCCTTTTCTCCACCGTCACTTTGAGTCCATTAACAGACTTGCACCAAATTGCTGTTACAATGCACCAAAATTTAGAACGTCGTTTATCCCTTTTCCCTCCCTCATCTTCAAGTCCAATGAAAAAAATTGCATCAAATTGCTATTACAATGCAAAGAAAGAATTTCTGTTACATCGCACCAAAATTTAGAACGAGCGCTCTTAGATATGGAATCCTTCTAGGAGGTTTATTCCTTTATTAATACGCTTTTATTAACTTCACCTGTATGTTTGTATGTATGTAACTGACTCTTTGGGCTCGATTTTGGGACTGATGTCGCCATCTGCTGACGAGTCAGTCAACTGATCAAACCCTACCTATTTTGTATAATTATTTTGTTTAATCTTAATTCCTTTTTGTTTTATTTTACTTTTATCTTAAAATTTTAACCTTTTTATTTTTGGGCATCGTCAACGGACTCTTACTTGTAGCGATAGCTTTGCTTTTTTCGATCTCCTGCTTTAATTGTTCTCAAGCAGGGAGATGTTTTCCTAATTATAATTTAAAAAACTAAAGAAACACGCTTTTAGAGTTAATCAAACTAAAAAGTAAAAAATAAATTAATAGTTTAACAAAACTTAAAAAAACACGCTTTTAGTGTTAATCAAACTAAAACGTAAAAAATAATTGTTACCATAAGAATAAAATGACTGACGAGAAAATGAATGTCACTGTTCTAAAAGCGTGGGGTACTTTGTGTGACATTTTTAAACTAACTCTGTATTTCGGAATGAACTAGTGAAAAATGATAACGATGGATATCGGCACCCCACTCTTTTAGAACAGTCATTTTATTCTTATGTTAACAATTATTTTTACTTTTTAGTTTGATTTACTCTAAAAAGCGTGTTTTTTTTTAAACTATTAATCTATTTCTTCCTCATCTTCAAGTCCATTGATATAACTGCACCAAATTGCTATTATTGCTGTTACATTGCACCAAAATTTAGAACGAGCACTCCGAACAGGGAAGTTTTTCGCTTTTCTCCTCGTCCTGTTCGAGTACAATAAAAGAATTGAATCAAATTTATTTTACATAGCAAAGAAAGAACTGGTGTTACATCGCACCAAAATTTAGAAACGAGCACTTTGAGATAAGGAGCAGTATAGATGCAAGGAATTTTGGTTTAGCTCACTTTTTTATTTTCCAAATAAGCTGCATTAATCCATGCGGGATTAAATTTTAAAAATTTGCCTCGAAAATTCTGAATTTCATTTTTTTTTAATTAGTGTAAATTATTATGCTCTACCATTGCTTTATATATTTTTTAAAAACTTGCTGTACATTTTATTTATTTTTTACTGAAA